TCTCATTTTTATTAAGCTGTTGGATGTTGTTTTAAATTAAAATTTTTTGATAAATATTTTTTAAAATATATTTAAGAAAATTATAATAATTAATGGAAATTATGAGAATAATAAAATTTCTATATAATTAAAAAAAATTTTTTTTTTAATAATGAAAAGTAAATAGAAAAAATGAATTTAAATAAAGGAATTGAATATATTCAGAGGGTTATAGTCAGAGGGTTATAGTAAACCAGACTTGGTAATGGACATGGATTTTGGTATCCATATCCGGATATCTACAGCGGATACAGACGGAGATCCGCAAGCATTTTTAACTTATCTGTATCCATATCCGTATTCATTACCAAGCCTCTCATAAACATAACTTAACTTCTAATTTAGGGATTAGATAAAGATAATTAATAAAATATTCTCATTTTTAATTAAAAAATAAAATTACCTATTGATTCATAAATTAATGTTGGAAAAAATAAACTAAAGAAATATGTAAAATTAAAAATGATTGGAGAAGATGAAAAAAGAATTAAGAAAAAATGTAATTATTTTTAATTTTATTCACATCTAAATGTAAATAAAATGTGTTGCAATGCTTTGTTCACACCGTCTATTTTACATATTTTTTAAAGAAAACTACATATTCTAATCTTACACCTGGACATTTTTTAAAAGAAGTTTAAACTTTATTTTTGTATTTTTGATTCTTTGTTTAAAAAATGGTTACAGACAATGACTGTCTGCAGATTTACTCTGTCAGAATAATTACCAATAATTAGCATATGAAATTATAAAAATTAATTTAATCTCACTATAACGTCAAATTTTTCTCCACGAGAGGTTTTGTCCAAATGAGATTTGAGTGATTTATTATAATATTTAAATATATTTTTTATATAAATTTGAGACTAAAAAATTTAAAACAAAATATTCTTCCAAAAACATTAAAAATTCCGATGAGCAATCTTTCCTTTCAATATTTAAGATATATAAAGATGCTACTAAAGGTTCGTTGGGCCAAATGTTAAAGATGTGAATTGAAGATAAAAATGTAAATGACTGTGAAATATACTTGTAAATAATATTTTTTTAAAATTTACACCCTAATTTCTAAGAAGTTAAAAATAGGGTAAATGTTTTAGTTAATATTTATGTAAAATAAAAAAATTAAGTCAGAATTGTCTTAATTTAGTAAGACAATTCTAAACGCGAAGAAATCAGCAAAATAATTTTTTATAACAGATTTATATAAATTGGGCGATTAAATAAATCGGCTTACAAAAAGATTAATTAATTCTCCAAATTATTCTTCATAAATAATCAAGAAATTAAAATAAATAAATAGAGGAAATTCTGGAAAATGTCTACTAGACAACTAAATACTCCTTTGTTTAAATATTAAAAATAAAAATAAAGTTCCGGTTCCGTTTATTATTTTCAATCAAAAGAATTTAATGTTTTAATGACCGCTTCACAGGCCACAAAATAACAAAACAAAAAATTCCTTCCTTGCGCATAAACTGACCATTGAATGATGAGGCGCAAAAATTATATAAAGACAAGGAAGTCAAAGTCAAGTGGAAGAATAAAAGCAAATATAAATTTTATATTAAGTAAATATTTGATGGGCACAATATTCTCTAAGTGTGTGGTGGAAGTTGGGCATGTTTTTTTGATGAGGATAAAGATTTCTAAAAATAAATTTCCCCGGAGATATTGACAAAAGAAAAATGAAAGGGAAAGTTAAACAATTGAAAAAAATATTAAGAAAATTATGAGGAACTAAAAAAAATCAAAAAGGGCTCCTATTTATTTACAACACAAATACATATTTATCATTATATAATATGAATCATATTTATGTAGGTTTATTCATAATAATAAAAGAATTTACAAAAAATAACCTTTACCTTGGCCATAGAATTAATCGCCTCAAAATTTACCGATGAAACAAAATAGGAAAAATGGAAAGCTAATGCGATGAATTTATGGACCTTTTTGAAGCCAAAAAATGAAAGAGAATGTGAATTGGAGAATAATAGAGAAAGATTTAATTAACTAACAAATAATCGCAGAAAAGATAATTCTTTTTTAAAATAATTTTTGTTTGTTTAAAAAAATTTGGAATGGAAAAGTTAAATATTTTTTCATAAGAAGGAATCTGAATTGTGAAAATAGTGACAGGAATCGAAAATTAAATGTCTCGTTTCATCATATTTTGGCTGTTTCACCTTGGTAATTGGGAAGCGATGTACTAAATAAAATATCCGAGGACCTTAAAAATGGAAGATATTCATGGTTCAAATACATATGCAAACTTCAATTCGAATAGGCGCGTTGAGATCCCGAGGCCACAATTGTTAACTCTATTAGACTTCAAGTTTCGCTCAAATCATACTAAATCTAGTAAAAAAATATTTCAATCTTTTTCATTATTCCTCAAAAGACATTATTTTTATTCAATTTATTGGCATCTCTTCTTGTTGTGAATTGACCATGTAACAACATTTACTTTTTTTCATATAAATAACCTTCATTGTCCACATGTATATTTTTGTTTGTTAATTCCAACAATAAGAAATGGCCGCGATATTAAAATTATTTTTATTCGATAGTATTGAAACAAACAATTGAAAATAAATAAATATTTAATTGTTTGTATTGAATTTCTACAAAATTTAAATTTTTGGTTATTTAATTTATCGGTAAAAATAAGAAAAAGTAAAAAAGAATTGGTTAAAAATAAATATTTAATTTTATTTTCATTGTAAAAAATTGTTTAGTCTATAATAAATTTAAGAGCCCTCAGACGAAAATTTTTAAATCCTAAGATGCTAACGCCATTGAAAATCTACTATTTTTAGAATTATAACGATTATTTTTGAATTTTGAGAAGCACGAGAGGCCTCCTTTTTGGAGTATTATAGGAATTTTAAACTTGAAATTTTGTGGAAATTTTGTGTGCTTATAGCACATTTTATGGCATTAAATAGAATATCTAACAATTAATTTTAGAGTTTTCCCTAGATAAAGTTTTTTTTAATTTTTAAAATCAAATTATTATTTATAAAAATTTATTTTACACGTGCAACTACATATTCTAATTCGATAGAAAAATTCTTTTTTTTCACTATTGCAGGAATAACTCAAATAAACATATTTTCATTTATTCTTACTAAATTTTGAGGATTTCCCTAAAAGTCACATTTTCGATCAAATAATATTAACATATTAATTTATTTTTTAAATATGTAAATATAATAAAATTAATATTTACAAATTATTATTTTTTCAGAAAACTTAAATTATGAAATATTATTAAGAGTTTATTTTTAAATTTATTCATAACATAAGTTCATAACATAAGTCTATAATAAATTTAAGAGCCCTCAGACGAAAATTGAGGGCTCTTAAATTTATTATATGGAGGGGGGGGGGGAGGAATTATTAAAGAAAAATTGAACCAAGAATCGAGGTGCATTGGTATTTATTGAGTGTATTCTTTATTGGATGTATAGTTTATCTGTCTACACAAACAAATTTTAAAATAATTTTTAAAATACATCTCCGATTGTTATATATTTCAAATATTTTATTTCTATGTATATACATATATTTGAAGAAAATGTTTTAATTGTTTATTTTTGTGTTTTAGAAGACACGTGTAAATCGAAATAATTATGAAACAAAACTTGACTTAAATAAAACTTTAAATTATTTTAACAATATGTATGTATTTACATTATTAAATTGCTATACCCAATTGTGATCCGCCTTTAGTAAGATATTCAATTCAAAATCATTTCGTTAAATTTCTCTATGTCATCAAAAAATAATTTTTGTAAAGAACCCACACAATAAAAATATTTTTATTCAATTATTTTATTCAACATTTATGTAAACAAAATAAATTTTTAACTCAAAATTACATTAAAATTTAACAAAAATCGCTCTAAATATTTTGTGTTGAATTTAATTTTTACAAATATTTTTTATAAATTTGTTTTTTAATTAAATCTTTTTAATTAAATTTGAATTAATTATTTGTATATTAATTTAATTAAATGAAATTTAAAAATATTTAAATCTGATATAGGTATTTTTATTAAAACTTGGAATTCTTAAATATTTTATTTTAAGAAATCCAACTTTATTATAATTTCTTGAATTAAATAAATTATATATGAGATTTTAAATTAATTTCTAATTTTAAATTTTAAAAACACACATATGACAGACAAAAATTAATAATTTAATTAAAATATAAAAATAATAAATCATTCTCTCCTTTCCACTTTAAAAACTTTTTATTTCAAACACCGTTCTTCTTCTTCCTCTTACATTTTTAATTCTCCATTATTTTTACTCGCTAAACAATAAAAGTTTGAATTACACGAACAACCTTTATAGTATATTTATCAATTTCCCTTTTTTTAAAACTTATATATTTGTCCCTATAATTTAAAACAATTTAAATATTTTTATATCGATCTTCAAACATTTCAAAAAAATATTAGTAATTTTTATTTTTAAAAAATAATTTCTAAAAAATATAAGACGAATAAAATTCTTTTTTTATTTAATATTTTTTTAACGTTTTTTTTAATTCAAATTAAATAATTAAAAAAAATTAATAAAAATATATCCCAATTTTATTATTTATTCATTACTTAAAACTTAAAAAAATTATTTTTATCACTAATTCACAAATTTTTGTTTTAATTTACAAAAATATCTGAAAATAAATAGTTTTAAATCTTTTTTTATTTTTTAAATCATTTCCCGTTTTAGAAAGGGGAATTTTTAATCCTTTTGATTTTGTTTTTTTAAATTTTATTTAAAATTGTTTTTCCATTATATTTTTTATTAATTAAATAAATTTTTGATTTAATATATTTTAATCTTTTAATAAAATTAATTTAATTTAATTTCACTATTTATTTGTTAAAGACGAAATCTGAAGATAACTCTAATTAAAGAATTAAATAAATTAAATTAAAAAAATGGTAGCGATTACTACATTTCAAAACACCACTAATAATGAAGTTATTTCTCATCCTAAAAAGGAACCAAAACTTGGAAATTTTATTTATTTGGTAATTTTATTTGAATATTTTTAGTTATTTTATTACTAAATTTTTGAAGAAAATTGAAATGTTTTAACTTAAAGCTTTCCGGAATGGCTGTAATTGGTGGATTCCTTTTTGGTTATGATACAGGAATTGTATCCGCAGCTATGGTCTTTAATTAATTAATTCTTAAAATCTTCTACATTTTAATTATTGACAGCTTTATGTACCACAAAATAATTATCTTAAACCTATGGGAAATTTGTGGAAGGAAGTTATTGGTAATTAATTATAATTAAAATATACCTAATTTTTTTGGGAACAAAAACAAAAAATTATTAATTATTAAAACTATTTTTATTAAATTTACATCTACTTAAGTAATTAGTTACTTAAATATAATCCTAGCATAAAATATTTAAAATAATTTATTCTTTTAAATTAATCTAAAGTTTCTATTACACCTGGAATGGCTGGTGTTGGTGCCCTTTTTGCTGGAAAGGCATCTGATTTATATGGGAGAAGAAAGGTATAATTAATTAATTTTTAGAAAATAATTTAAATTTAGATGATTATTTTGCCGACAATTATTTTTGCTGTTGGAGCTTTTGTTTGTGCAATTGGAATAAGTAAATGGATTTTGTTAATTGGAAGGATATTATTGGGGATTGCTATTGGTAGTTTTAATTTTATTTTATAAATTTATTAAGATTTTTTATTACATTATAACCTCGATTTTACATATGTGTAAAATTTGATTGCCCTATGAGGCCCTCGGCTGCTTAAACAATATCCCCTTCCAACCCTATTTAGGCAAACCCCCCTTTTACGTAAAATCCCAGTCCCACTATTATATATAAAATCGAGGTTTTTAATTATTCTTAATAAAGGATTTGCTTCAATGATTGTGCCAATATATGTGGGTGAATGCTCACCAGCACATATTAGAGGAAAACTAGTTACTGGATTTCAAGTAAAATATTTTTAACATTAAAAGCTTGAATTCAATATTAAAAAAAGTAAGTATATGTTAATGTCGTAATAAACTTGAGGATGTTTACTTGAGGATTTTTTCTCCAATTTCATTAAAGATCTAACCCAACCTTTAACTTGAGGGCAGGTGCCGGGTATTTGGGTTAAATTGTGTTAAATTTTTGATTAAATCGTGTTGGGTTAAAAGTTAAATTCAAAAAAATTAAAAAATTGGGTTAAATCATTTCAGGGATTAGATCTAGGTTTTTCTTTAAAAATAGTTGGGCCCTGAATTTTTAATGATAAATTTGTTATTTTTTATTTATTAAATATACTTAATTTAAAAGTTAATGATTACTTTTGGATTACTTTCTGCTAACATTTTTGCGGTTGGATTTTCTTATATTGATCCAGAGAATTGGGGATGGAGGTAATAAAAATACACATACTAATAATTTTATTTAATTAATCTAAGTATACTTAAATATTTTGAATATAATTAATGCAAAATTAATTATTAATTTATTTTAATTTCAAAAAAAAGATTAATGTTTGGTTTTGCCGCAATTCCCTCAATTTTGCAATTTATTGGTTTCTTTTTCTTACCTGAAAGTCCTCGTTGGCTTTACCAAAATAATTTAAAAAGTGAATCAGAAAAAGTTCTTTCAAAAATTTATAATGGAGATCAAAATTGGATTAAATATGGTTTTTTAGATATTCTTTAAAAAAAAATAAATTTATTTTTTAAAGAACTAGATGAAATTCATTTTGCTCATGAACAACAAATACAGGATCAACTAAATTATGGTAATTAAAAATATTTTAAAATAAACATTTTATTTTTTAAATTTTATGTGGTGGAAATTTATTAATGCGTATTTTGTCTGATCCCCCAGTTAGAAAGTCTTTATTTATTGGAGCAGCATTACAAGCATTTCAGCAAGCATCTGGAATTAATACAATTATGTAGGTAATGAAATAATTTGAGAAACAAAATATATTAAATGAGAACTGCATATTTTTGTCTTGAAAGATAAATTTTGGAATTGCCATGAACTATAACCGCTAACTATTTAATTATTTCTAAAGGAACATATAACTGATTAGTACATCAAATTAAAAATTAAAATTATTTCGTCACAAAAATTCAATAATACTAAACACTTCTTTATTTAAAAATTAAATTGTTAACAATCTTTTATTTTAAGGTATTATACAGGAGCAATAATCCGTTCTGCGGGCGTTAAAGACTACCACGATACTATTTGGATATCTGTGGGAACAGCTAGTAGGTCTACCATTAATAATTCTTAAAAAAATAATTTTCCTTTTCTGGTGTCAACTTTTTCGCAACATTTATTCCAATTTATTTAATTGAAAGGCTGGGACGTCGTTTTCTTCTTTTATTAAGCATTTTTGCTGTTTTTGTTTCACTCATTCTAATGGGTGGTGGTAAATTAAATAAATTAATTAGTAATTAAATTAATTTAATTATTAAAGCTTTTCTGTTAGTAAATAAAAATTCTGCTCCTTCAATTAATGGAAATTCTAATTTATTTGATCAAAAAGTAGATTCATTTAATCGTTGTATTTCACATAGGTTTTATTTATTAATTTTATATTTATTATTTTCTACTTAAAGTAATTGTGATTTTTGCACAACAGATGAATTATGTGGATTTTGTGAGAAAAAGGGAAATAATGGAGGGGGATTTTGTCTTCCTAAGGTAATATATCTATAATTTATATTTTTAATTTAAATATTTAATTTAATTTTAGGATCATTTTAATGCAGATATTCGTTCTATAACAGGGCCTTGTTCCTCAAAAAATAGCACAAATGGATTACATTTTATTGGAAATATTGAATATGAATGGTAATTAATTAATTTTAATATTAAAAATAATTTTTAAAATTTTAGGAACGAAAATTGTCATACAGACACAAAATATACAATTTTGCCAATTCTTTTAATGGTAATATTTTTATGTTCTTTTGCTATTGGTTATGCTCCACTTCCTTGGGTATTAAATGCTGAATTTTATCCACTTTGGGGTAAATTATAAAAATATTTTTTTAAATAATTAATTAATTTAGCTAGAAGTACTTGTGTTTCTTTAACTACTTTTTGTAATTGGGAATTTAATTTAATCGTTTCTTTAACATTTTTAACGTTAACACAAGAAGCAACAAAATATGGTAAGAAGAATCTTACATTTTTATTTGGAAATAAATTATAAAAAATTTAAAAAATAAATTTATTTTCCAATTTATTTTACAAAAATTATTTTTTAATTTCCTCAATTTTCACATTTTTAGGAGCATTCTTTATTTATGCTGGATTAACGGCTATTGCTTTTCTACTTTTTTATAAAGTTGTTCCAGAAACTAAAGGTCTTAACTTGGATGAGGTTTGTCAATAATTTATGCTTTTTTAAATTTAAATTTAATTTTGAGGTTCAATTATTATTTATGTCTAAAAAAGAACGTCAAAGAGCTGTTTCTACACTTCAACAAATACCTATGTCTAAAATAGAAAATAATAATGGATTTAATTATAAATAAATTTTTAAAGGAAAAATAAATAAATATTAACAATTTTTACATAAAATATAATTAATTTTGTGTTTTTTAAATATGTAAATATTTATATAAAAATTTATTTTTTGTTATTTTTTGGCAATACATTAGCAAAACCCATTCGACTTTTACCAATGTCATATATATTACCTGAAATTTTTGTTTATTTAAAAATTTTTGTAAAATAATTTTTTAGGACATTGATTGAGGGTTTGGAGTTAACTAAAATCTGATCCATATAGTTATAGAATTTATATATAACACTCTTAATTTTAAATTCATATAGAATTTATATATATAATTTTGCTTGGAATTAAATAACTTTTATTGCTGCTAATAATTTTTATTTAAATTTTATTATAATAATTATTAAAACTATTATGTCTAAATAAACATACAATATTGACGAATAAAAGGCGCGCCAAGAATCCAATCGAGAGCTTTTTTTAATTAAAATTTGTTTTTAAATAAAAAATTACATCCACTTGGGAAATTTTGTGGAACCATTCCAAATAAGCATTTTAAATGTAACGGATCATAAACATCAATTGTTAATACTTCCTTAATTTCTTTTTAAATTAATCATTTACTAAAAAATTATTTCATACTTTAGTTAAATTATATTTAATTCCATTTATTTTAAAAGTAATTGGATTGTAAGTTTTGTTACAAGGAATAAATAATATATATTTGCTGTTTTATTATATTCTGCCCCAATTTGTTGTCCAATTGAAAGAATTATTGAACTACTTCCATAAATAAGTGAACTACCTGTATCTGATACAGCTTTAAGAAAAAAAATAAATTTATTTAAATTAATAATAACATATTTTTAATTTGATGGGTAAAAAAGTACATAATTCTTGTTAAAATTAGAGATGCGCGAGATCGATATCTCGACCGAGACCGAGACGAGAATCTCGGTCATTTTCCAATCTCGGTCTCGGTTTTGCCGAGACGAGACCACCTAACCGAGACGAGATTCTCGGCACTTAATCTCGCCGAGATCCGAGATCAGTATACACCCCTAAAGATTGACCTTCTTGAGATTTATTTTTATTTTGACAAAATATTTAAAATTTCGCTATTGACATATTGTTGTGACTCATTTTAATTTAGTTGTCTAGAGAGCGGAGCATGACAAATAGGCGCGGCCGAATACACATCAACCTTCGCGGAAAAAAGTTTTTGCCGCTGCGGAGGCCGCTTCGCTACGGTTGCCGCGATCGAAGCGAGCACGACCGCAGCGAAGCACGGCCATCGTGTAGCGATGTATTATGCATACACCAGGGATGTGCCGAAAACCAATTTAAAAAGCGAAACATGAAAGGCGAAAGATTAAACACCAAAAAAGGCGGAAAAAAGGCGAAAGACGAAAAGGCGAAATACATGTAGTGAGTGGAAACTTTAGAGATCAGTTGAATCAAAGCTTAGGTTAAATACCTAACTCAAAGCTTTGACCAGATATTCCAAATCCTTCGATATCTTTCTTAACCGCTAAATTATGGATATCAGAGAATTTAGAGGGCATCCGGTACAGTCACTGGGACCCGTAAAAATGGACAATTAAGACTCAATTTTTTAGCGCTCAGGCAAGAGTTTTCAGAATTTTGGAAGGCCAAGAAGCCAGATTTCTTCCTTTTTCAGCGCCCTAGAGAGGAGTCGACAGCATCTACAGTTTTGCCTACATTTAGGCGAATAAGGGACTTTCTAAAAAAAGATAATAAAATTCCTTCAATTCCACGCTTTTCTTATGATGAAACAATATTTTCCAAGACTCATTGGGTGATTTTGATGATGACACAGATGATTTTGATGATGATTTAGATGATATTTAATTACTTTGGTAGGGTTTTGGTGGATAAAAAAAGTTTTGAAGAATCTCGGTTTATCTCGGATCTCGATATCGGTCTCGGGTCAAATTTTGCATCTCGGTCTCGGTCATGTGAGTCTCGGTCAATCTCGGTCTCGGATTTTTTCTAAAATCTCGATCTCGCGCAACTCTAGTTAAAATCAACCTTTTTGCCTTATTTTGCTTTGGTAACTATTTCCATAGCTAACACCCTTAATTTTAAATTTTAATTCATTTATATAATTAACTACATACTTCAAGTTCAAAAATGAAATAAGAACGATTTATAAGTGGCGCCCATCCAATTACTTTGCCGCAATTCTTATTGTCTAATCCTCCATATGTAAATTGCCCTCCACCTAAAAGATTAAATTTGCTTGAATAATTAATTTAGAAAAATAAATACCTTTAATTAATTTCTTTTGGCTACTTCCCAATGTTGCCAAATAAACAGTAAATATTGCATTAGCTAATAAACCTACAGATTTTCAACCAAAAATATTTTTTAAAAAATATTTTTAGAAAATATTTTTAATTTTATTTAATTACCCAATCTAATAGCAGCAGTTAAAGGAGGCTCTACCCCATTAATAGCAATTGACTGAAATGCTAATCCCAAAGTTCCATCAATCGGTTCATTGCCCGCATGTTTGTCTATTGTTGTTGCTTGACCAAAAACAATATTTGGAATTGTTAATGTATTGTTTTCATCAATACAACCAAACTTTTAAAAAACAAATAAATTTTAAATTTATTTATTTTGATTAAAAAATGTTAAAGTAAAACTAAATTTCCGTTGAAAATCCAAATATAGACATGCCAAAATGACACTAACCCTCAGAAAACATTATACTTATATTATTAAAACCTAGTTAAAATATTTATTCAATTAAATACCAACTTTTAATCTATCACTTCCCAAAAATCCATCAGCAAATCCTTGTCCATAAATTATACTAAAAGGACGGCCATTACTTTTATAAGTTGTTGATTTACTCGAATTAAATTTTATTTTCCCGCACAAGAAGAAATATTTGAATTTTTTCCACAACAATAAACATCACAATTTTTATTGCAATATTCTTAATTATTTAAAATAAATTTTTGTTTTAAATTTATTTTATAACAAAAATGTGTTTATCTTATTTTGTTGTTTTATTTTTGTTTAATTTTTGTTTTAAATTACAAAAATTCAATTACCTTTATTTTTACATTTATCATTACATTTCTGTCTAAAGTTACATGTTTTATCTACAACCCAAAGATTTGAACTTGCAGTATCCATTGATACTCGAAATTCTTGTCCTGGTGTACCTTTATTTGTTAAATAGTTTTAGAAAAATATTTAAATTGTTAATCTCATCTAAGAGGAATTTCCTCATTTTTAAAGAATTTTCAATAGTTTTCGGCACCAAGAAAGTAATATTTTTTGTAAAATCCTCTATTAATATTTTAAATAATAAAAATTTTATTTTTATCTACCTAAAGTAATCATTGAAACATAAATCATATCCCTATAGTTGTAAACATCGTGAATAAATTTTTTTCCATTATAAAGAATTCCATCAATTATTTGTTGGCTTCTGGCATCCAATTGGTCTAATAATTTTTGACTTCCATGCAAAAGAATTTCTTTACTGAGTTTTATAAAATTAGAGGTAAAAGGGTATTTTTTTGAAATCCGGTAATCGAGAATAAGGGTTACAAAGGCGTCTATGTATAGGTAATTAATATTTTGAGTGAACAATTGGTTATTGAGGATTTTCAAAAAAACATTCAAAAAATTTACTACAAAGAGGAGTAATTCTTCTTAAATAAGAAACAGAAAAATAAGGAAGAACCTAGGAAACAAATTACAGATATTTGAGAAATTAACAGAAAGATAAAAACAAACAAAGGGTCTCCATTTTGTATAATATCAATATTATGTACTCCATCTTCTAATAAATTTGTTGATAAAATTGAATTAAAAATATAAAATAAAATAAAAAAATTAATTAAATTAAATATTATATTCATTTTATTTCTAAACAAATTATTTAATAAAAATTAAGGAAACCAAAATTTAGTCTAAAATTTATTTTTAAATAAGTAGGTAAATTAAATATTAAAACCGTTAAATTTTTGAAATATACATACCTTTATTCACAACTAAATATGCGTGAAATAAAGGTATTTTTTGGATCAGAGGAAATACGTTAATTTTATATTAAAACATATATTTGTTTTTTTAAATAAAATTTCTTTAAATAAGTTTGTGAATGACATACCAAAGTTATTCTTAATCAATTCTATAATATATAATTTTATGTCATCCACGTGGATTTGTTTGTCTAATTTTTAAAAATTGCAATAGAATATTGAATTCTTTTTTTAGAAATTAATAAAGTGTTTAAATTATAAAAATAATCAGAATTATTTTAATTTATAAATACCTATATTTAACTAACAATTTTGATTAATTGACTAGTTATAAATTGAGCTGTACCCCGACCTGTTCCAGAACGATACTTTCAGAATTATCCCGAAAACGTAGACTACATATAAATTGAAAAATTTGAAAAAGTTTCAGGACAGGGTTATAGTCTATTAATTAAAATTAATTAATATCAACAAGCATTCTAAATTTATTTTTCTTTAAATCTTTTTCATCTAAAATTGCCCTCCCGTCTTCTATTCTGACCATTCTAATATTTTCTATTGGCCCTTCAGATTCTAATACCAATAAAGATCTTTCACGAATATCCAAAATTACAACAAATATTGAAAGTAATACAAGAAAAAGAAAGGTAATTAGTAGTGAAACAAAAAATAGCCATTTCCAAATATCCCATTCTCTAAAATGAATAAAAATAAATAATTAATATAAAACTTTTATGTAAAATTAACTGATTTACAAAACTTCTAGCTACATAAAATAGAAGAAATATTTGTAATGTTATTTAGAACAGGGGGAGTTAAAAATTAAAATAGAATTATACTAAAATATTTTTGGATGATATTGACTTAAGATATTAAAGATTTATTTTAAAATTATTTAAAAAAATATTAAATTTTAGATTTATTTAAATTAAAAATTGAATATTAAATTTCTAAATTATTTTACAAAAATAAATAATTCTCTAATTAATTTATTAAATTATATATAAATAATATTTTCAAACTTTTCACATCCTTGTGGACAATTAAAATCAAGTAATGGAAGTTCTAATCCGTAATTGTATAGTCTAATGTGTCTTACATGATGAAAGACATTTTTAGCTATTGCTGGAGATATACGGGCAAATACATTTTCGGAATTTTTCTAAAATATTATTTTTAATTTATCAATCTTTTTTGGTTCACCCCCAATTCTTACCCAATTATTCCCATCTTTAACAGAGGATTTATTTGGCAATTTCATAAATCTTGATAAAGAATCATTTGCCAACTTCTCAACAGTCGTTCCAAAAAATTCAGAATTTTTTATTTTTTCATTTTGGTTGGAATGAATCCACAAAACTCTGTTTATCTAATTAATTTTAAATTTATTCTGCTTTACAAAAATATATAAACACCTCAACAATAACTGTTTGCCTAAGAATATTAATTAACATACTCTCATAAAATTGCAAAGTTTCATTCCTGAAACCAAAAAATAAAATATTTTTCCTCTTGTAAATTTATAATTAAATATGAAGAATTGTAAAATGAGGACACACAAATCCCTCAATATTTTCCCAAAATCCTTTTAATCTTACGATTTATTTTATATCTACCCTAAAATGTTTCATTATTAAAATTTTTAGTGATATAAAAAAATATTTATATAATTTGTTTATGAAAAATAGAGGTAATATGTATTAGGGAGGGTAAATAGTTGTGAGGGGGTAATTATTCGATCATATACGGCAATTCAAATTAAATATATTTTTTATTTAAAAACATACCTACCAACATGATAAAGAATTAGGATTACTAATTGAACAAAAATGTTTACAATTAACAACACCAATATTTTCATTCTCATTTCCAGTAAAATAATTCATTTTTAATTGTTTTTCTACTCCAATATTCCACAAGGAATTATTTAAAAAATTTTGTTTTGAAATTTTTAAAAGGAAGACAAAAATGGATAAAATAAATTTAAATTTGTTAATTAACATTATTTAAAGGTTGATATATTCTCGAAAATTATTTTAAATTATTAATAAAAAATAGGATTAAAATTAAAAAAAAATATTTATTTAGTTTTAAATGTAAAATTTCTCTTTTTTTTCTAAAATTGTATTTTTATGATTAAAACGTAAAATTTTTGTCGTTCACTTCAGTTAACAATAAAAATGACAACGATAATATCATCAATACTTTTTTTAAAAAAGGAAAGGGAAAAATAAATTCGAGAATTTATTTAAAAAAGAAGAAAAACACTTTCTTTTTGATTAATAATAAATTATAAAAATAATATTTTTCTATATTTTATTTTAATTAATTAATTAATTAAATTTAATAATTCTAATTGTTAATTTTAAATAAAATAAAAAAATTTTTTAGTATTAATTTTAGTATTAAATTAAAATAAAATTATTGAAAAAACTCAATAAATTATCATTTATTTTATTTTTTTATGAATTGTTACTTAAAAATTATTTTGATAAGAAAATGAAAAAAATTAAGAGTATTAATTTTAAATTGTTGGTGAATAAATTAAAGTTTATATTTTTAAACTAATATTTTTTAATAAAATATAAAATTTTTTTGGCAAAATAATTTTTTTAATTTTTATTTTATTCTTTTTCATTTAAAAAAGAAACAAAATTCTAAAAAAAAGATTTCCATTCTCTAATTAAAATAAATAATTTAACAATTTAATTATTAAACAATTAATTTTTTAATTTATAATTCTTCTTTTATTTTCTCTCCGGGCAAAATTGCCGGATTTCCTTCCAAAATTTTATCAGCATTATCCATTTCTTGAACAGAAACAATTCCATCATTATTAAAATCCAAAATCCATTGAAGTCCCGGATCTCTTTTTCTTCCCTCAATTTTATTTTTATTTTTTCTTTTACTTTCCATTATAGACAAATCTCTTTCAAAAATATATTTAAATTCAGATATATCAATAATTCCATCATTATTTGCATCAAAATATCTTTAAAAAATTAGATATTTCATAAATATTTTGAATAAATTATTTTTGACAGAAATAATTAAATATACTTTATATAATATTTGGAAGCATGTACAGGGTCAATATCTTCATTTGGCCATGCTTTTCCAAATTCTTTCAACATTTTATATCCAAAACGAGTTAATTCGTCTTCCGTAAGTCTACTATCATTATTTAAATCCATCCATTCAAATTGCCCTTCTATCGTCCACGGCTCTATTTTTATTGCCTCAACATCAAAACGAAGCCAATGTTCATCATTTGGTATGAACCTCCAAACTAATTTTAATATTTATTAGTTTTGGAGAGACTGAGATTTAAGGGTTCTTTGTTCGATTAAAAGGGCACTCTATATTGTTTTTTTGAAAAAATGTACACCTGTTTAGATCAACTCCTATAATAAATACATACAACAGATAAATTAGATATTTAATTAGACAGTAGAGATCGGTAATTTGAAAAGCCTGGGCCTGCTCCTGGGCTTGATTTATTGACCTGGGCTAGATCATAGGCCTGTAGTCCAGGAAAAACCCAGGCCCAGGAAAAACCCAGGAAGGTCAAAAAATGCCTGGGCCTAGACTCTGGGTACAGAAAAAACTTTGGCCTTGGTCCAGATCCAGGCCGATCTCTAAAAAACAGCGAGGCTTTTCTTAAAATTATTATAACTTTTTATATTGCTATTTATACTATTCCTAATTTAAAATTTCCAATTTACCTTTACTCTTCCTTTTGCGGCTTAATCTCCAAGGAACTTCAATTTTGCGAAGCTCACCATCACACATTCCCTTAACACCTTTATCTAAACCAGGCATTGTCTTAATATATAAATTAAAACTAATAATGTTTATTTAAATTTTCTACCATCCCAACACCCAATTGTATTTTAATTCCATCTTTTTCACGCCCATAACTTTGATCAAATTTTTTTCCAGCCTCAGAAAAGCCTTTGAAATGAAATGTGACAAAATCAAGACGTCGAGCTTTTCTAGGGCAATCTCCAGGTACCCAAGTTTTTGAAACCTTTTGATTTTAAAAATAAAATAAATTTATTTAGAATATTCATTATAAAATTAAATTTATTTTGTTTAAATTACCTTAATATCAAGAGGTCCACCATTAGACATTTCTTCTAGCTCCCTTCAAATATTTTTTATAAAAATTTTAATTTTTGAATATTCTATTTAATTTTACAAAATAATTGACTATATTTTTAATTAAAATTTTGATTTCCTTTTCTAAATTTTTTATAAATTAATATGTATAAAATCTGTTTAAACCTCACACAAATTTTTTATTGAATACCTAATTTGTGCAGCACTCATTGGCTTTCCCTCCCCCCTTATTTCGATGACCGGAATTGAATCTTCTCGTTTTTTTGGCTTATCTTCTACTACTTTGGCACTTGCTTCTTCAAGTTTTAAGCTAGCTAACGTAGGTATTTTGGTTGAAGAAATAAAATCTTAAGAATAATTTTAAAAAATTAAAAAAATATTTTAATTAGATGTATAGGTTTATTGATCTGAATGAACCAGGGCTCCGATATGCGCGGATTTTTTCTCATTTTGTGGTTTTTGATAGGTTGATGAGGATTATTTTTAAAAATACGGAATTGCGAATTTCTTGGATTTTTTATATTTTGTAATTTTTAGAATAAAATGTCATTTTTTCTCTTATGGCTTTACAAAATCGTCGAAATTTTCGCCTGCGGCGCAAAAAAGTAAATAAAAAAGTAAGAAGAAGGCGAAAATTTTTATGGAAAGATTTTTATTTTTGGTCAATGAACTGACTTAATCAGTTCACTACAAGTTAATTGTTTGAACTTTCATAAGATGGTCATTAGTAATAAAAATTGCTCAATTCAATTGTTGGAGTAAAAAAATATAACGCATAATGTGATTTTACTTCAATTTCTGTGCTTGATAATTTTTTGATGATTTTTAATTTAAAATTTTTAATTTAAATTTAATTTAAAAATCTTTATTTTTAAATATTTTAACAAACTACTCCTTTTAATAATCACTTAATTAAATAATATTTGGCACTAAAAATTCTTTTAATTTAAATTACTAACCTGCTAGTAGAAACACAATTATTATTAAAATAATTTTATTAAAATTAAATAGATTAATTGCAAAAATATATTTAATCATATTTAAATTTTTATATAAATTAATAAATATACAATTAATTAATTTTGTTTAATTAATAATTAATAATTTTATATAAATTAATAAATTTTTTTAAATCAAATAAATCTAAACAAATTAATCTTTTTTAAAATACCCCAAAAAATACCCCATAAATAAATTATATATAAAGCTTTGTGAATATGAATGAATAAAAGAAATGGATTAAAGCAAAAAAAAATCCCGCACATAATTCAAACAACAATGGATGACCTTCACCGAATAAATGTTTTTTTTATTTTTTTTATTGACAGCTATATAGTAGATGGTTGTGAAAATAAAGGGATCGATTTATATTTGATTTAGATATTAAGGATTTACTATATTTAGGGGTTTATTTTTTATTTATTTTTTATTTTTTACTATATTTAGTTCTGAAAAAATTAAACAAATAGTACGTACGACGAGTCAAAATGAAATTACCGTAAATGCTCTAATAGAAGCACAGTATCTATTTGAAGCACAGTCTCTAATAGAGGCACACCTACGAGAGGATCGAAAAATAAAGGCACAGTCTCTAATTGAAGCACATCTCTAATAGAGGCACACCCCCTAGTATACACTGAAAAAGTTACATTTTTCTTAAAAAAGTTACATTCCCCCATTTATATACCTCAACTGATCCCCATTGATTGATATAGAGTGATCAGAAGTGATTAAGAGGGAATTTAGGGCATTAACAAGTATCTAAAGGATTCAAGGAGATATCGAGAGATTGGGGGCGGGGGATTTTGGGAAGGGATATCAGATGAAATCCGAGGATTTGGACGGATATCGAATATATTTTTCGAAGAGATATTTTGAGAATTGCCACTGAGGAATTATTTATAATTCTCCTGATATTCCTACCAATCGTCCAAATCCACAATATTCTTCCTAGTCCCTCTTAATCACTCGATATCCACCGATATCCTACTTAGTCACTTAAAATCCGCTTATATACCTCGATATCCCTCCAATCCACCATATCCTTCTTGATCCCTTGATGTCATACAAGTGGGTTTATCAATGAGGATAATGAAAATTAAATTGAAAGCGATAATTCTACCGATAATTCTACTTTTATGTGGAGTATAGAATTTTCAATAAAAATTTGAAAAATAGATCGAAAAATAAAGGCACAGTCTCTATTTGAAGCACAGTCTCTAATATAAGCACACTCTACGAGGGGATCGAAAAATAGAAGCACATGTGCTTCAATTAGAGCATTTACGGTATTAATGATTTAACTCTTAATTTGAAAAATTTAGTATTAAAAAATAAATTATTTTAAAATCTGGAATTATCTTCAAGTTGTCGATCGGA